AGTATTGTAGATTGCCGCGCGGAAGAAATCTTTGGAGACGGGGGCAAGGTACTCCCGCCGATACGGTCTGTGAGAACCTCATAATCGAGGCATTCTTAGACATTCTCGAAATGATTATCTTTAGCTCTGCTTGGATGCTGTGCTAAGGTTGGCCGGATCATGAATTTTAATCTACTCGCGGCTGATTGCTCGGACCTCGGTAACCCCATAGTCGAGCAGCTATGGGGACACTGGCGTGAGCAAGATTCCGTTTCGGACACATTCCGGGGATAATCCTTAGCTGACCTTGGTTTCCTCTCTACTCGAAGCTGATGATTCCGAGTGAATCCAAGAGTATCGTCTGCATTGTCAGATCGTCATAGAAGCGGAGAGAAAACCCTGTCCGGCTTTAGTGTGAACTCGGCCCCGACTGCCGACTGTTTTGGCTCAAGTATCGCACTACTTCTTGGTATACGCTGTTCTTCATCCGGTGTTCTTGCGCCGAAATGAAATTCCCCGGACGGCTACTAGCTTATGGAGGCGCGACGCCGACGTATAGCAGGCCATGTGTGAAGATACGGTCATCGAAGCATACGCGCGAAATAGGTTGACGATGATATTTTTCTGAATAGGTGGCTTTCCCGGATTTCCGGAAGCTCAAGCGACTCGATGACATTGTAAATATCCCCAACCCGAAACCCTCGAATGGACGTTGTTATCACCCGACAATAATCCGAACCTTCAGCCCGGCAGCGGTTTGATCTGCGTGCCTGGATACTTTGGTCGATCTTTGAGCTCATCGAAGAAGAAAAACTCCTGGAGAAGTCCTCTCATATGCTTGGCCAAAGATCTGCAGCACCTTATTGTTAATGTTCATTGTGACAATAAATTCTAAACTGAATGTATTTTGTGACCCGAAACATCTGCGACTGGATTCTTTTATGAAATAGCGTAGCTGAGTGGCTCTACAAACTCCCGGAGAGTCACACCGTGCTGTTCAGTCTTCTCCGCGAGGAATCAGTGATCCATCGAACGGCCATCGTCGGACCCATTAGGCCTTCTGAGACAGTCATTCGCGACTCGGGCGCAACGGTGCAACTCAATTCTGGGTCGCATCATTTTTTTCGCATGAATGCGACAAACACGTCCCCGCGGAATCCTCTAGCCGAGGAGAGATTGAGCAAAATGTGACTGCGAGCAGCAGGTGGCGCATCCCCTCGAGGATTCGATAAAGGTATTCTTTCCACCAGCGATCCGGATTTTTCGTCTATAATCCATATGTACGTATGATGAGTTTGGTCTTTCGAGTCTTTTGGCAAAATGTCCGTCGAGAACCCCCGTCCTGCCCCCGGGTCGAGAACATAGCCTCATTCTCTCTCATCGACTCGATTGAGAGAGGAAAGGACCGAGCAGGACTCTTCCGAATCATAAGAAAGCTGCCAGTTTCGACCCAATCAACGCGAGAAGAAGAGCAACTCCGAGCGAAAAGCTCTTCGAACGAGGTGAGTTCCCGACGTCAAGCGCGCTGAGTTTTGGGGTCATTCCATCGGAGTAGTGCCAGTACCACTGCGGCATTTCGCGCCAAGGAAGGGACCGATTTATTCCAATTCGATACCGTCGCACACCTGGCCACAGAGCGATCACTTTGCACTGAAGGAACCTCCCCGGGACCTGGCAGGGTGTTTTCCCGAACCGGGGAGTTTTCTTTTTAGGCCAGTCTTGATCAGCAGGGGAATCTAGTTGTCGTGCCTCTATCAAGGCGCCTTGCTTGCTGGAGCGAAAACCGCGTCACCCTAGAAGCGCCAATATAGCTTCCCTCAGGACGAGGTGTCAGAGTTACCGTCCAGCTACCCAAGGCACCTGGAATGTTCACTCCGAGCCTCGCCAGAATATGCAGATCAGTCATTTAGTTAATGGAGAGCAAGTGTTCGCTCACAGTACATCCTCCCCGTTCCCGCTATCGCGCGCGACCTATTTCCAGGAGATCGCCATTCTCTGACTCAGAGCAAAGTAGTCGTACCTTCGCGGATCCTGATGATGAAAATGGTGATCTTGGCTTAGTACGTGCACGTTGACGGCAGCACCGGACGGCTCAGTCTCCTCGGGAGGCTGTGTCGTCGTTTCTCGAGAGCTCCTGCAAAGACAGACGCACTCCGATTGATCTCTTCTCCGCCAGCTCCGAGTATCCACGGGAATTATTCGTCAGCGGACCTCCTCCGAAGCGGCTTGCGTGTCTGTCCCCCGTCCGCCGGTGAGGTCGGCTTTGCTTCATAGCGCGTCCTTTGCTGTCAACTGTTCGAGCGATAAACAGCGGAGGGAACAGATGTGGTAAACGTATGGCCGCGTTATCTCGGTCGGGGGAAGGGCGTATGGACTGCTAATTAATGCCTGACTGAGTCCGCTCCGACCACCAATGAACGAGCGATGTCGCGCGAGGTGTGCGCATGATGAATAGTTTCTCCAGCAGCGGTGTCAGATAGCATACGTTTGGGATCGCGGCAAAAAAGAATGCGACGCCTATACAAATATCGATCCGATCTCGACGCGTTTTCCTTCGTCATTGGTTTGCACGTGATTTTTGACGACCACATTTATCAGCGATGAATTCAGTTACAAAACGAGCACGGGACGTTTTTCGAAAGACAAACGGGAAATGCGTCAGAGTAAGCTGAAAGCTCGCATTCCCGTTACAGCAACGCTCTGTGACGGAAAACGCGATACGGACCCTGACCTTTCGGACACGACTAACGCACGTTTTTGCGAACGAGCCTGGAGCCGTTCTAGTCTGGCCTTGATGGCGCATGAAAGGCCTAGTTGCGAAGCCTTCTCCGCTGCAAGTGAAATACTCGGGCACTCGGCCACCTCTCGCAACCCATTCGCTCTCAAAACCCAATATGCATCTCATGAGAGCTCTAGGGATGGGAAAATATCATGCTCAGCTCTCGGAGACTCGTACGTCTTCCATCCCGCATGTGAGAATAATTGAACATCCTTATCGCATGGCGGAACAAAGGAGAATAATAAACTCTTGCTGTAGGATAGAGGCTCGTATGCTTTGAGAAATCGAGGGAAATAGATTTTATCGAAAGAGAAGGAACGGCTCCCAACAGACGGAGCCGAGGTCTCGTCGGCTAGGTGACCGTTCTTTCTGCTGCTGTGATTTGCTGACTGGTACAAATACTGATGTTGATGCTGACTTCTGAATCGGGTGCCGGCCAGTAGTGCGCGAGAGGACGAATAGAGAAGCCGATTAGATAGCGACGGGTCCGTTGGAAACTCACACGAACAAGCAACCTCGGACACACTCACCCCGCGGTTCCGACCCACGTGGTCACTCGACTCACTCGCCTTTGCAAGCTCGAATTCAACGCCCGACTCTCGGATCCTGGACCCGAAATGAGTTTCACGCAATGTTACAAGCGATGCGAGCTCGCTCGCTGGCGCGGCGTCTGTCTCTTCCGATAACGCGGTACCATATGTGTGAGGCTCTTGAGCACCCGACCTGATAGCCGGAACATTTTCCCTGGTGAATCCCGAGGAAAAACTTGAATTATCTATCTGATAGTAAATCGGACGGCGAGCTCGAAATCCCTAACTTCGGAATCGGTTCTACAGGCTTGCATCCGGAACGAGAGCGAGTGATATCAATCGCGCACCGGAACACGCGAACCCATCATGGGAGGAACCGTATGCGGTGGACGGGACGATTTTTCAGTTTTGAGAAAACATTCCTCATGACTCCTTGCCGTTATTTATCGAATCACGCACTGG